CGGTTTTCGGTTCGGTACATGTTGATTGTTACCCCGAAATCCCATGAAATTAATGAAATTAATGAAAAAAATCCAAAAACATTAATGAATTGTAATTATTTTTAAGCGTATTCTTCTTGTTTATTACTGGTGGTTGGCTTTGGTCGCAGTACCGCCACCTTCTGCTCTGGGGTGTAAACGCTTCGCCTATGAGAAAAAGGAGCAGCGCATGAACCGAACGAAACACACGGGAACCGAACCGAGACAGTCGAACCAAACGGTTCGGACGGTTTTCATAAACCGTTCCATCCCTAGTGTGTATCAGTGAGCATGTGGAACCAAACTCCCATGGTGTTTATGCACGGGCATGCTCCTGTTAAAAGGATTCACAAAGCTTTTCAAGTTGTGATCACCCCCCTTCAATGGGGATGATCACAACTGACATGATTTTCTGCAAGAGGGATTGCGTAGCTACGACTGAGAGAGATATTTTAGTGGGACTATGCAGCAATTCAGCAGCAAATTTAATGGGCCTGACAGGAAGAAAGACGCAGTTACAAAGTAAAACACATCCGCTTTGGGGGATGAAACAGGAAAAAATGAAATACTTTACCGTTAAAATAATCAGTGGCAGACAGAGCAGGTAAGCAAAGCTCATCATTCTCCACTCTTTATAAAAAAAAGCTCTGACAGACTTTACAATTCTCTCTAGGAATCACCTCTCACTGCCTCAGTCAGCATATAAACCATCCCACAGCCTTTATTTCTGCGTTTTCCTTTTCTTCAAACGTGAGGGAAATGGTTTGAATTTGTGTGGTCAAATCTGCACAGAGTGCCTAGCGATGTGTCTGTCCGTTATCACCTCTTATTAAACATCTAAACATGCGATGGTTCCTCTCTAACTGCCTGATGAAGCAGATTTAAACACCAAACTGACCCTGAACATCTCCAGAAACGCCTCCAGCTGCAGAGATACAGAGTGGACTTTTCTTTTGTGACCGATTTAAAAACTGCTCAGAAATTTCACATGCAGCCTGATGTCTTTTATTCTCTGACTTTTCTTCTTTTTCCTTTCTTTAATGAATTATTTCAGTCACTTCCACTGCGTTGATACTCACAGCTCTTTCATTTTTGTCCCCCCACTTTGTCCCCAGCTAGGGGCCTGTAAGATCGTTAAGTCTGCGCTCATAATTTGTTCAGTAGTTCTCATCTACTGCTGCCATGCCAACATGTAACTCAAGGCAAGTAAGAATTTCTGGTCCACACGTGGATCCACTTCAAGCCCTCAGGCTCCTGTACTGGCTGCTCTCTCTTTCCCATCATGCTTTTGGAGCGCGCTTAGGATCTGGTTATCTGGGGTGAAGCTCTGATGATGGTTGAGACGTGGGGTTGATGGTGTTGGAGGTTATTAGAGGTAAAGGTGGGCTGTTTTAAGGGGTTTTCTGTAAAGGTAAGCTTTGAGATAAATGGCTTCAAAAAGGCAGGTCAGGTTAAAAACACTAAACGTCTGCTAATCTTTTATTTAAATTAGAAATTCTATTAAAACATAAATATCTGCTATATTTCCCTGTTTCTCTTCTGATAGCCACACCTCATCATCACCTGTGCAGGTGTGATCTGAAGCTGTTGGGAGAGTGAATCGTTTATATTTAAAACCAACATGATTCCAACCATTCGTTCTTTCTAAAGAATTCCATCTGCTTCTGGGTTTATTGCACATTACAGCCACAGATGGACTTTAGGTGAAGCACCAATGCAAAGCACTGCTTGGTGTAAGAAAGAGAAACCAATAACTGAAATGTGTGGCGTGCATTTTGGATTCAGGGAGCTTCAGTCTGAAACTTTATAGAGTCCAGCGCTACATGTCTGCTTCAGCATCAGTAGCATCAGAAGTTTGTCAGAGAACATCAGAGGATGAAGAGCGTCATGGAGGCCAAGAAACACAGCAGACAGGTCAGAGAGGAAGCTGTGGAGGCGTTTAAAGCAGGAGTGGGTCATAAAAATGATACTTCAGAGGTCCAACTAAAAAGATAGGGTGAGGAAGGTGTGCCGTAAGAAAGGGATTAGCTAACAGACCTATAGTGGCTCTGGAGGAGCTGCAGAGCTCAGGTCTGTATATTAGGGTAGCAGAGGTGGGTAGTAACTACAGTGGGGGAAATAAGTATTTGACCCCTTGCTGATTTTGCAGGTTTGCCCACTCACAAAAAACGCAACAATCTATAATTTTAATCATACGTACACTCCAACCGTGAGAGACAGAATCCCAAAGAAAATTCTAGAAAATCACATATGAATTTATTAAAATTGATAACCATCTGACCAGGAAAAACAAGTATTTGACCCCCTGGACAAACAGCATGTTAATATTTTGTAGAAAAGCCATTATTGGCCAGCACAGATGTCAGACGGTTTTTATAGTTGGTGACAAGGTTTGTGCACATTTCAGCAGCTTACACCGAGCTAAAATGTAAATATGTTTGCCAAAACTAGCACATATAAAACTCCTCCGCTCTCCTTAATGCGCCCTGCAAGCGTGTTTCCACGAGGACGTAACATTTTAGTTTAAAATGCAGCAGACACAGACAGGCAAAGTTTAACTAAAATTAATATTCCCTTTTTTACAC